AGGAGAGTGAGTAGGCCAAAGCCTGTTAGAGTCAGTGGGAAAAAGCTAGTGTCTTCCTGAGGAGAGTGAGTAGGCCGAAACCTGTTAGAGTCAGTGGGAAAAAGCTAGTGTCTTCTTGAGGAGAGTGAGTAGGCCAAAGCCTGTTAGAGTCAGTGGGAAAAAGCTAGTGTCTTCCTGAGGAGAGTGAGTAGGCCAAAGCCTGTTAGAGTCAGTGGGAAAAAGCTAGTGTCTTCCTGAGGAGAGTGAGTAGGCCAAAGCCTGTTAGAGTCAGTGGGAAAAAGCTAGTGTCTTCTTGAGGAGAGTGAGTAGGCCAAAGGCTGTTAGAGTCAGTGGGAAAAAGCTAGTGTCTTCTTGAGGAGAGTGAGTAGGCCAAAGCCTGTTAGAGTGAGTGGGAAAAAGCTAGTGTCTTCCTGAGGAGAGTGAGTTAGGCCAAAGCCTGTTGAGAGTTTGTGGACTAAAGTTATTGTCCTGGGAAAAGTTAATAGCTACTACTAATTGCTAGTGGAAAGTTATTAGGGAAAAGCTTAGTGGCAACTATGGAAGTTGGTTGACTGAAATTTTCTCCCTGCTTGTGAAGAGTTAGTAGGCCAAAGCCGGTCATTGCCTGTGGCTGCCATACCAGCGTTGGCTCCGTCCGCAAGAAATGGGCATTTCCCCAAACAAAGACTTGGGCCGAAGAACAAATCCGACTTCCGTGTTTCTTCACCGCAATCTGCACATTGGCTCAGATTTCTCCGTTCTCTGAACTTCGTTGCATTTAAAAATGAGGTGAGAAACATCTTGATCCCTACGGATGTCCCGGTCCTCAAACACTCTCTGCTTCATTTGGAAAAATGCTGCACTCGCAGAGCTCAGGCGGTGTTGAATTTCAGTGTCAATGTTGACTTTTGTGGAGAGGTGGCTGCCAAGGGAGTGGAAATGATAATTTCATAATTTTCTAAAAAATGTTTATCTTCAGTGTAACAACCGAGTTACCTATGTGCCATTACATGAATGCTTATGGATATCACTTGTTCAGAGTTGGCTTCTAACAAGGTCATGCTTTTCTTGACTGGTGGTTTTCAAAAGGTGGCCTCCACATGTTTATGAAGATTCACTTTTGCCAAACTGATGTGACATCATTGTTTACCTTACTTATACTGAGGCCTACTAACACTGGAACCTTCTCATACTGAGGCCTACTTACAACGAGGCCTACTAACACTGGAATGTTCTCATACTGAGGCCCACTTATACTGACACCCACTAACACTGGAACTTTCTCATACTGAGGCCTACTAACACTGGAACCTTTTCATACTGAGGCCTACTTATACTGAGGCCTACTAACACTGGAACCTTCTCATACTGAGGCCTACTTATATTGAGGCCTACTAACACTGGAACGTTCTCATACTGAGGCCTACTTATACTGAGGCCTACTAACACTGGAACTTTCTCATACTGAGGCCCACTTATACTGAGGCCTACTAACACTGGAAACTTCTCATACTGAGGCCTACTAACACTGGAACCTTCTACTACTGAGGCCTATTTATATTGAGGCCTACTAACACTGGAACGTTCTCATACTGAGGCCTACTTATACTGAGGCCTACTAACACTGGAACTTTCTCATACTGAGGCCCACTTATACTGAGGCCTACTAACACTGGAACCTTCTCATACTTATTTCCCATTGCCTGTGGAATCTCCAATAATTTGCCCACCGAGGTGGGTTTGTTGAGTCCTGGCTGAGGAGACAACAGGGTCTGGAGAGGTTCCAATTTTGGACCACAACTCCCAGTTCAGACAATTGAACATCACTAGGATAACCAACTAGGCTGTTTTGTGCAGAAAAGCATGTTCTTTGTGTGTCTATTTATTTTGATATGAGTTCTATATTTAGTGGCCAGGCAGAGTGAGCCTCGATGACAGATTTACTAGCTGTAGTGTCTGCTGCGGCCGGTGTTGTATCCCAGGGAGATGTTTTTCCTTCTGACTCAAACCAGATAGTCCCAACGTCAATTGAACACATCCTGTTTGGTTGTATAGAGCAAAAGGGGGAGGGAAGCATTGCTAATGTCCTTTTGAGGCTAAATGATGCTGGAGGAGCGGATGTGGGGAGAGACGGGACACAGGGAAGGCTCTGCACCAGAGAAGCCTGGAAACCTTCTTGAGGTGGTGGTCTGCCCCTCTCCCCTAGCCTTGTCTACCCCAAGGGTGGGCAACCTGTGGGGCGTAGGCTCAAATCACACAGACCAATGTTTTCTCTTCCTTAAGAGGCGAAATAATATGATTGTATTATTTACAAGAACAAGATTTCCACAACACAAATGAAAGTCCTTTTTACTTCCTTCTTTGCTTCCACGCTGGGATTCTATCTCATGCAGATAAACAGCTTTGCTCTCACAGAGCCTCCTCTCACACCGAACTTACTAAGGAGCTTTACATACAGCTTCACACACGAGGTCTTAAACCTGGGGCTTCTCTCACCGAAGCCTTCTCACATCAGACCATCCTCACACTGAGGCTTACTTATACTGAGGCCTACTAACACTGGAAACTTCTCATACTGAGGCCTACTTATACTGAGGCCTACTAACACTGGAACCTTCTCATACTGAGGCCTACTTATACTGAGGCCTACTAACACTGGAACCTTCTCATACTGAGGCCCACTTATACTGACACCCACTAACACTGGAACTTTCTCATACTGAGGCCTACTAACACTGGAACCTTTTCATACTGAGGCCTACTTATACTGAGGCCTACTAACACTGGAACTTTCTCATACTGAGGCCCACTTATACTGGAAATTTCTCATACTGAGGCCTACTCATATTGAGGCCTACTAATGAACATTCTCATACTGAGGCCTACTTATACTGAGGCCTACTAACACTGGAGCCATCTCATGAAAAACGGGACTTTGAAAGCTCTCTGTCTGCACTTAAACCTGGGCGTTCTCTCACCGAAGCTTTCTCACACCAGGCAATCCTCACACTGAGGCCTGCTAATACTGAGGCCTACTAACACTGGAGCCTTCTAATGAAAAATGGGACTTTGAAAACTCTCTGTCTGCACTTAAACCTGGGTGTTCTCTCACCGAAGCTTTCTCACACCAGGCAATCCTCACACTGAGGCCTGCTAATACTGAGGCCTACTAACACTGGAGCCTTCTAATGAAAAATGGGACTTTGAAAACTCTCTGTCTGCACTTAAACCTGGGTGTTCTCTCACCGAAGCTTTCTCACACCAGGCAATCCTCACACTGAGGCCTGCTAATACTGAGGCCTACTAACACTGGAGCCTTCTAATGAAAAATGGGACTTTGAAAACTCTCTGTCTGCATTTAAACCTGGGGGTTCTCTCACTGAAGCCTTCTCACACCGGACAATCCTCACACTGAGGCCTACTTATACTGATGCTTACTAACACTGGAGCCTTCTAATGAAAAACGGGACTTTGAAAACTCTCTGTCCGCACTTAAACCTGGGAGTTCTCTCACCGAAGCCTTCTCACACCGGGCAAGCCTCATACTGAGGCCTACTTATACTAAGGCGTACGAACACTGGAGCCTTCTTTTTTTATAATTGTTTTTATTTAGAATATGTTGCTCCCCAGGTTGGAGCGAATAGCAAGAAAGAAAATTCCTGTGTCGTGTTTACATAGAAAGAGTGGGAACAATATTCTTAAGTAGGAAAGTGAAGAGTAAAGGGGAAAGCTTCTCTCACCAAAGGCTTCTCTCACCGAAGTGACCAGTGTGAGAAGGCTTCTCTCACTGAAGCCTTCTCACACTGGTCAGTCCTCACACTGAGGCCTACTTATACAGAGGCCTATTCATGCTGGAGCCTTCTCATGAAAAATGGGACTGAAAACTCTCTTTCTGCACTTAAACCTGGGGGCTCTCTCACCGAAGACTTCCCACACCGGGCAAGCCTCACACTGAGGCCTACTTATACTGAGGCCTATTAACGCTGGAGCCTTCTCATGAAAAACAGGACTGAAAACTCTCTGTCTGCACTTAAACCTGAGGGTTCTCTCACCGAAGCCTTCCCACACCGGGCAAGCCTCACACTGAGGCCTACTTATACTGAGGCCTATTAACGCTGGAGCCTTCTCATGAAAAACAGGACTGAAAACTCTCTGTCTGCACTTAAACCTGAGGGTTCTCTCACCGAAGCCTTCCCACACCGGGCAAGCCTCACACTGAGGCCTACTTATACTGAGGCCTATTAACGCTGGAGCCTTCTCATGAAAAACAGGACTGAAAACTCTCTGTCTGCACTTAAACCTGAGGGTTCTCTCACCGAAGCCTTCCCACACCGGGCAAGCCTCACACTGAGGCCTACTTATACTGAGGCCTATTAACGCTGGAGCCTTCTCATGAAAAACAGGACTGAAAACTCTCTGTCTGCACTTAAACCTGAGGGTTCTCTCACCGAAGCCTTCCCACACCGGGCAAGCCTCACACTGAGGCCTACTTATACTGAGGCCTACGAACACTGCAGCCTTCTCATGAAAAACGGGTCTTTGAAAACTCTCTGTCTGCACTTAATCCTGGGGGTTCTCTCACAGAAGCCTTCTCACACTGGGCAATCTTCACACTGAGGCCTACTTATACTGAGGCCTACGAACGCTGCAGCCTTCTCATGAAAAACGGGACTTTGGAAACTATTTAGAAAAGTCTGCCCTGGCTGGACCCTTGCAATGCTGAATTCCCAGCCTTCGTGCTGGAGGCTGCGCCTTTGCTCTGACGCTGAGAGCGGGCAGGAAAGGAGGCTGACGTTCTTGGCTGGGAGCACTGTGTGCAGATAAACTCCCGTGGTCTTAGCAACATGTTGCTTTGTGCTGTAAATGTTTGCGGTTAACTTACGAACACGACAGTCAACAATCTGGCCCGTCCATCTGCACATAGCCACCTTCTGGAGTCGCAACGTGGTGCGTGCATTTCCTGCCTCATCCCCTTTGTGGCTCCTTCCCCCCCCCCCCCCTACATCTGTAGGAATCTCACAAGCACGACAACTTTCTTGGCACAGCCCATATTTCACCGAACGACAGCAACCTTGTGCAGTTTGCCCCATTTGGAGGAAAGCTTGGAGGGGAAAAAATTAAAAGCCAAGAGATGAGTGACCCCCAAATTTGGCTTCTTGCTTTTCCAACTTCAAGTGCACTTCTCTTCCCATACAGGTCAGTGCTTTTCCTAAAGGCCACACAGAAATCTATTTGCAACAAATGTGCCGCGTTTGGAGATGGACTATTTTTAATTTATTTTATATTTTATCTTTTGTATTTTGTATTTTATATTTTATATTTTGTATTTTATTTTTTGTTTTTTGTATTTTGTATTTTATATATTTTATATTTTATATTTTATATTTTATATTTTATATTTTATATTTTATATTTTATATTTTATATTTTTTATTTTATTTTTATTTTGTATCTTGTATCTTGTATCTTGTATCTTGTATGTATCTTGTATCTTGTATATTTCATATTATTTTATATTATTTTATATCTCCATTTATCTCTCCATAAGGAGACTCAAAGCAGCTCACAATAAAAAACTATGACAACTTAAAAATACTCAAATACACAATAGTAAGTATATCGTTATATATTATTATATACTATTATTAGTACCAAATTTAATATATTAGTATTATTATATTACAATGTTATTACTATTACAATGTTATTATATTACAATGTTATTACTGGACTGACCTTGAGGGAGCTGGGGGTGGTAACGGCCGACAGGGAGCTCTGGCGTAGGCTGGTCCATGAGGTCACGAAGAGTCGGAGACGACTGAACGAATGAACAACAACATTACTATATATTGCAATATTATTACTTTAATAATATATATTACTATATATAGTAATAATGTAATATAGTAATAATATATAATATAATATTATATATATATATATCATTATATATTATTATATACTATCATTAGTACCAAATTTAATATATTAGTACTATTATATTACAATGTTATTACTATATATTGCAATATTATTACTTTAATAATATATATTACTATATATAGTAATAATGTAATATAGTAATAATATATAATATAATATTATATATATATATATATCATTATATATTATTATATACTATCATTAGTACCAAATTTAATATATTAGTACTATTATATTACAATGTTATTACTATATATTGCAATATTATTACTTTAATAATATATATTACTATATATAGTAATAATGTAATATAGTAATAATATATAATATAATATATATATATATATCATTATATATTATTATATACTATCATTAGTACCAAATTTAATATATTAGTACTATTATATTACAATGTTATTACTATATATTGCAATATTATTACTTTAATAATATATATTACTATATATAGTAATAATGTAATATAGTAATAATATATAATATAATATTATATATATATATATATCATTATATATTATTATATACTATCATTAGTACCAAATTTAATATATTAGTACTATTATATTACAATGTTATTACTATATATTGCAATATTATTACTTTAATAATATATATTACTATATATAGTAATAATGTAATATAGTAATAATATATAATATAATATTATATATATATATATATCATTATATATTATTATATACTATCATTAGTACCAAATTTAATATATTAGTACTATTATATTACAATGTTATTACTATATATTGCAATATTATTACTTTAATAATATATATTACTATATATAGTAATAATGTAATATAGTAATAATATATAATATAATATTATATATATATATATATCATTATATATTATTATATACTATCATTAGTACCAAATTTAATATATTAGTACTATTATATTACAATGTTATTACTATATATTGCAATATTATTACTTTAATAATATATATTACTATATATAGTAATAATGTAATATAGTAATAATATATAATATAATTATATATATATATATATCATTATATATTATTATATACTATCATTAGTACCAAATTTAATATATTAGTACTATTATATTACAATGTTATTACTATATATTGCAATATTATTACTTTAATAATATATATTACTATATATAGTAATAATGTAATATAGTAATTATATATATATATGTTGTTTATTCATTCAGTCACTTCCCACTTTTTATGACCGAATGGATATTGTATTATTATTAGTATTATATTGTATTACATTATAATATTATAAATATTATATGTATACATAAGATATTATATTATTATTTCATACTACAATATAATATTAGTATTATTATATTACAATATTATTACTATAATAATATATGTTACTATATATAGTAATAATATATTATAATAATTTAATTATAATATAATATATAGTTTATTTGTTCAGTCACTTCCCACTTTTTATGACCTCATGGGTATTGTATTATTATTAGTATTATATTGTATTACATTATAGTATTATAAATATTATATGTATATATGATATTATATTATTAGCATACCACAATATAATATTAGTATTATTATATTACAATATTATTACTATATATTACAATATTATTACTATAATAATATATGTTACTATATATAGTAATTATATTGTTTATTTGTTCAGTCGCTTCCCACTTTTCATGACTTCATGGATATTGTATTATTATTAGTATTATATTTTATTATATTACATTATAATAATATTATTAATAATATTATGTGTATATATATTATATTATATTATATTATATTATATTATATTATATTATATTATATTATATTATATTATATTATATTATTAGCATACCACAATATAAGTATTATATATTGTTGTTGTTCAAATCAAATCATTTATTTCGGTCATTGACCAGCACAGTATTGTTGTTGTTGTTGTTTATTAATTCAGTCGCTTCCGACTTTTCGTGACCTCATGGACCAGCCCACGCCAGAGCTCCCCGTCGGCCGTCACCACCCCCAGCTCCCTCAGAGTCAAGCCTGTCACTTCAATATACTGTATTATTATATATTATATATTATTACATTGTAATACCACTTGATATCTGTTGCTTATCTAAAACCTCCCTATCAAATGCATGATATTAAGCATTATTATTATTATTATTATTATTATTATTATTATTATTATTATCTTATTATCATCATCATCATTAGATATATTACTATATATAGTAATAATGTATAATATAATTTAATATTATATATATATAATATTAAATTATTATTATCATCATTATTATTAGATATGATAGTAATAATAATAATAATAATGCTTAATATCATGCATTTAATACGGAGGTTTTTTTGTTGACGTATTCATTCGTCCCCACAATGCATTTATTCCTTTTGTACTGGGGAACTCAGTTGAAAAATTGCAATTTCTGATGGATAAATGTGTTTCAGTGTATTGTCGAAGGCTTTCATGGCCGGAATCACTGGGTTGTTGTGTGTTTTCTGGGCTGTCTGTCCATGATCCAGAAGCATTCTCTCCTGACATTTTGCCTGCATCTACGGCAGGCATCCTTAGAGGTTTTGAGGTCTGTTGGAAACTAGGAAACTGCAATTTATGTATCTCTGCAAAGTCCAGAATGGGAGAAAGAACTCTTGTCTGTTGGAGCTAGGTGTGAATTTTTCCACTGACCACCTTAATTAGCATTTGATGGCTTGGCAGTGCCTGGGGGAATCTTTTGTTGAGAGGTGATTAGATGTGCCTGCTTGTCTTTTGGAGTTAGGTGTGAATGTTTCACATGGCCTCCTTGATTAGCATTTAATGGTCTATCACTTTCAAAGTCTGGCTTCTTACTGCCTGGGGGAATCTTTTGTTGGGAGGCGATTAGCTGCACCTGATTGTTTTTGTTTGGAATTCCCCTGTTTTTTTAGTGTTGTTCTTTATTTACTGTTAGGATTCCACAGATATACATTTTCCTAGTTTCCAATAGACCTCCCAACCTCTGAGGATGCCTGCCATAGATGTGGGCGAAACATCAGGAGAGAATGCTTCTGGAACATGAAAACTTACAACAACCCAGTCGCATTTCCAACAGGCCTCACAACCTCTGATACTGGTAGCCAGGTTTTGTTTATTTTCATGGTTTCTTCCTTTCCGTTGACATTGTCCACATGCTTGTGGATTTCAATGGCTTCTCTATGTAGTCTTGACGTGGTAGTTGTTAGAGTGGTCCATCATTTCTGCGTTCTCAAATAATATGCTGTGTCCAAGTTGGTTCATCAGGTGCTCTGCTATGGTTGACTTCTCTGGTTGAGTTAGTCTTCAGTGCCTTTCATGTGCCTTGATTCGTGCCTGTGTGTGGTCATCCCTCTGTAGAGGTGTTTACAACTGCATAGTATACAGTAGATTACTACAGAGGCGCTCAATCCTTTGCTGAATTGAGCATTGGTTGGATTTTCTTAACGGGTCTGTAGATGTGTTTGGGATTGGCATTAAAATGTGACCTGAATGTCACCTCATGGTCCTGTTCGTCACGAGAGGGCTGCTCTACTTGCAACGAAGAAGAACTGTAGGATTCACAGTATGATGGTCGGACGAATCCTTCCCCGAAGCGTATGAGATCACTCTGAAACGGAACAAAAGAAGTCTGTGTCCCATTCCGCTTATAAAACATTTTGTGTTCCGGCTCTCCTTTTGAAGCCGGCTTGCAACAACCACAGATCTGAAATGTCTCGCTGTTTGGGTTGAGCAAAGCTGAGCCCTCTCCCAAGGAAGCACTCATCAGAGTGGACAACTCAAATTTGGAGAACTTTGACGGTGTGAGAACTAAGTTGTGTTTGCTTTGGAAACTCTGCTCTAGGGTTACTTTGCACTGTCATAGGTACTGATCTTGGGTTGTAGAAGTCTGTGTCTTCTTTGGAAACTATTGGAGGTAATCTGTTGGTTCTCGATAGCCAAATCAAGCAGTGTCCAAAACAATAAATGGATCGAAGTTGCATTTTTTCCCCCCTTACTGAGCCAGCATTTTTTAAAAGCTCTAGCACAACACGTCTCAACCTTGGTTCTGTCAGAAGGGGATGAGCTGCAGAACATGTGACCAGATCTGGGACTATTCAGACTCAGACTCTATTTTAGAAGTTAGTAGAAACAGAGTGCTAGACCTTTGGAGAGGAAGGTTGAGAACCACTGACCTAGACCTTTGGAGACCTTCTGCTCAAACATTTCAAAGCTCCCTTCTTGAGCGGTGATTTCATGATCATCAGCATAGACGAAACTCTTTGGCACTTATGGCATTTGTTGGGGTCACCCCAACATGAGGAACTGTATTAAGGGGTCACGGCATTAGGAAGGTTGAGAAACACTGACCTAAACCTTCAGAGAGCTTCTGTTCAGCCATTTCAAAGCTGCCTTCTTCAGCGGTGATGGCATGATCGTCAGCATAGATGAAAATCTTTGGCACTTTTGGCATTTGTAGGGGTCACCACAACGTGAGGAACTGTATTAAGGGGTCACGGAATTAGGAAGGTTGAGAAACAAGAACTTTGTAGAGCTTCTGTTCATCCATTTCAAAGCTCCCTACTTGAGTGGTGATGGCATGATCGTCAACATAGATGAAACTCTGTCACTTCTGGCATTTATAGGGGTCACCACAACATGAGCAACTGTATTAAGGGGTCGCGGCATTAGGAAGGTTGAGAACCACTGATCTAGACCTTCGGAGAGCTTCTGTTCAACCATTTCAAAGCTCCCTTCTTGAGCGGTGATGGCATGATCGTCAACATAGATGAAACTCTTTGTCACTTCTGGCATTTGTAGGGGTCACCACAACATGAGGAACTGTATCAAGGGGTCGTGGCATTAGGAAGGTTGAGAAACACAGCTTTTGCAGTTTTCAGTCGATCAGCCACAGCTCTCTGAGAATGGCAGACTGTGCGCCTTGCATTCAATCTTCATTACAGCTTTTCAGTCCACTGGAACATTAATTCATGATGAGCATTAATCCAACACAGTCTTGTCCTTAAGCATCATCAAACCTCATTATCTCGTTCTTCCAGCTGCCGTGGTAAGATATTTGGAGAAGCCGTGCTTGCACGTGTGGCGAAGAAAGCCCTCCGTTCTGTAGACGTTGCAAGTAGAGTCACTGCTAACTTTGTGGATTTATTTCGTTGCTGGAAGCGGCCTCAAGTTTCTGTGAAGTTGGGCACTATAAATCTTTAAAACATGTGTTTGCTGTCTCTTGAAATTGATGCCATTAGGAGGGTTTTTTAATCCTAGATAGCTTCCAGATCTGGCTTTCTCCTTGATCCAGTTTTTATTTATTGATCGTGTCAGAAGTGAGTTGAGGGTACAGTTAAAATGCATTTACAAACACAAAGTTTTAAAAAAACTTTGGATTATGCTAAATGTCCTTTGACCGGAAGCTGGCCACTTGGATTGTGAGAAGGTCCTCCATTGTGCATGTCGCAGGGCTCAGAATGCATTGTAGAAAGTGGTCTGTGGTTTAGCATTGACACAAATGACCAGCCTCTGCCAAAAGGGACAAAGAGTTTCATCTACGCTGATGATTGTGCCATCACCACTCAAGGAGGGAGCTTTGAAATGATTGAACAGAAGCTCTCCAAAGCTTTAGGTGCTCTTACTGCCTATTACAGGGGAAACCAGCTTGCTCCATCAATGTTCAACATTTAGACAAATGATCAGCCACTGCCAGAAGGAAGAAAGAGTTTAATCTATGCTGACGATCGTGCCATCACCGCTCAAGCAGGGAGCTTTGGAATCGTTGAACAGGAGCTTTAGGTGCTCTTACTACCTATTACAGGGGAAACCACCTCGCGCCATCAATGTTCAACAATGTTCAACTATTTCAAAGCTCCCTGTGTGAGCGATGATGGCACGATCGTCGGCATAGATGAACCTTTCTGTCCCTTCTGGCAGTGCGTGATCATTTGTGTAAATGTTAAACATTGATGGAGCAAGCACGCTCCCATGAAGCAGACCGTTCTTCTGTTTTTGCCATCTGGTTCTCTGACCCTGGAACTCACCAAAAAAGCTCCTGTTTTGTAGTAGATTTTGTACGATGTTGTTTCTAGCATCCACTTTTTGCTTTGTATTCAAGCAGTGCTTCTTATAAGTCACAGCATGGTCCAGAGTGACTCCCAGGTATTTGGGTCTGCTGCAATGCTCCAATGGGATTCCTTCCCAGGTAATCCTCAGAGCTCGAGATGCTTGTCTGTTCATGAGAAAACACATTTGTATTTTGGATGGCCTAAGAATCAGCTGGTTTTCCCTCTAATAGGCAGTAGGAGTACCTAAAGCTTTGGAGAGCTTCTGTTCAACAATTTCAAAGCTCCTTGCAAGGGTGGTGATGGCACGATCATCAGCATAGATGAAAATATCCCTTCTGGCAGTGGTTGCTCATTAGTGTAAATGCTACACATTGATGGTGCAAGCATGCTCCCCTGAGGCAGGCCATTCTTCTGTTTTCGCCATATGCTTTTCTGGCTATTCAACAATCTCAGAGCTCCTTGCTTAAGTGGTGGTGGCATGATCGTCAGCATAGATAAAACTCTCTGTCCCTTCTGGCAGTGGTTGCTCATTTGTGTAAATGTTAAAAATGGATGGAGCAAGCACGCTCCCCTGAGGCAGGCTGTTCTTCTGTTTTCGCCATCCTTTTCTCTTCCCTGGAACTCAACAAAAAAGCTCCTGTTTTGTAGCAGATTTCCCATGAAGCGAACGAGGTGGCAGTCCCTTGTGAGATTATACATTTTTCTCAGGTTCAGCACTTGCGATGTGCAGCTTTTGCCTTTCCTAAAGCCAGCTTGGGTCTATTTTTTCCATTGTTCTCTGCAATTAAGTCTTTCCAGAATTTGTAAAGATTGTTCCAGTGAGAGCTGTGTATAAAAATCTGAGAGCCCCCACTGGAGCAATCTTTACAAAGTTCTGGAGAGACTTATTTTGCATATAATTATGGACAAAATAGACCCATGTATGATTCCACAGCAAGCTGGTTTCAAGAAAGGCAAAAGCTGCACATCACAAGTGCTGATCTCAACTCAGCACATAAAAGATGGTCTTGAAAGGCAGCAGATTACAGGAGCTCTCTTCCTAGACCTGTCAGCAGCATATGATACTGTAAATCATCACCTACTCCTGAGAAAAACAGAAGAATGGCCTGCCTCAGGGGAGCGTACTTGCTCCATCAATATTTAACATTTAAACAAATAAGCAGCCACTGCCAGAAGGGACAGAGAGTTTCATCTACGCTGACGATCATGCCACCACCGTTCAAGCAGGGAGCTTTGAAATGGTTGAACGGAAGCTCTCTGAAGCGTTAGGCGCCGTCACTGCCTACTAAAGGGAAAACCAGGTTGCACCATTAATGTTTAACATTTACACAAATGACCAAGAGAAGGGACAGAGAGTTTCATCTACGCTGACGATCATGCCACCACCGTTCAAGCAGGGAGCTTTGAAATGGTTGAACGGAAGCTCTCTGAAGCGTTAGGCGCCGTCACTGCCTACTAAAGGGAAAACCAGGTTGCACCATTAATGTTTAACATTTACACAAATGACCAAGAGAAGGGACAGAGAGTTTCATCTACGCTGACGATCATGCCACCACCGTTCAAGCAGGGAGCTTTGAAATGGTTGAACGGAAGCTCTCTGAAGCATTAGGCGCCGTCACTGCCTACTAAAGGGAAAACCAGGTTGCACCATTAATGTTTAACATTTACACAAATGACCAAGAGAAGGGACAGAGAGTTTCATCTACGCTGACGATCATGCCATCACCACCCAAGCAGGGAGCTTTGAAATGGTTGAACGGAAGCTCTCTGAAGCTTTAGGTGCCGTCACTGCCTACTAAAGGGAAAACCAGGTTGCACCATTAATGTTTAACATTTACACAAATGACCAAGAGAAGGGACAGAGAGTTTCATCTATGCTGACGATCATGCCATCACCACCCAAGCAGGGAGCTTTGAAATGGTTGAACGGAAGCTCTCTGAAGCTTTAGGTGCCGTCACTGCCTACTAAAGGGAAAACCAGGTTGCACCATTAATGTTTAACATTTACACAAATGACCAAGAGAAGGGACAGAGAGTTTCATCTACGCTGACGATCATGCCACCACCGTTCAAGCAGGGAGCTTTGAAATGGTTGAACGGAAGCTCTCTGAAGCATTAGGTGCCGTCACTGCCTACTAAAGGGAAAACCAGGTTGCACCATTAATGTTTAACATTTACACAAATGACCAAGAGAAGGGACAGAGAGTTTCATCTATGCTGACGATCATGCCATCACCACCCAAGCAGGGAGCTTTGAAATGGTTGAACGGAAGCTCTCTGAAGCTTTAGGTGCCGTCACTGCCTACTAAAGGGAAAACCAGGTTGCACCATTAATGTTTAACATTTACACAAATGACCAAGAGAAGGGACAGAGAGTTTCATTTACGCTGACGATCGTGCCATCACCATTCAAGATCATATTTTTATTTTTCAAAGAAGTTGTTAGCTTGGTTGTGGGCCTGATGCTCGGAGAAAGACTTCCGAGATTAGTCTTTGAAATGGCCTTCAGGGGCTGTTTTCCTTCCTGCAGATACACCCGTAAGCACCAAAAGTCAGATTATTCTCCTGTGTACAATGTAACTTGTTCAAAAGCAAATGGTTACTCATTGTTTTGGATTTTAAAAAAACATAGTAACTCATCACTGTTGTTATTTAGAGTAGCTAGAAACGTAACACATTACAAATGAGACATTTTCCTGCTACTACTTAGGTAACAAAAAAAATAATGTTATGGATGACGGGTGTGCCTTGTCTGTGGAAGGGATAGATTTGGATTCCAGGAAGGCCAGATTCAACCCCAAATCCTGAGGTTTCAGAGGTTCCACCCACTTTTCGTAAAATGATTAAATCTGTGTTTTTTTCCTAGGTGGTTCCATCCGAACATCAATGGAATCGAAGCAGAGAAGTTGCTGCTCACCAGAGGCATCCATGGGAGCTTTTTGGCCCGGCCCAGCAAAAGCAACCCGGGAGACTTTACGCTATCAGTCAGGTAAGGAAAGACATCTTTCTATTGATGTCCCGGTCCTCAAACACTCTCTGCTTCATTTGGAAGAACGCTGCACTCGCAGAGCTCAGGCAGTGTTGTATTTCAGTGTCAATGTTGACTTTGGTGGAGAGGTGGCTGCCAAGGGAGCAGAAATGGTCAACATTTTCTAATGTTACACCATTAAGCTGTATCTCTGGCATTGGGGAGGGGTTGGCTGGTGTCTGCTGGAAGAGCACTTTGGTATTCTCGATGTTCAATGACAGACCGAATTTTTTATATGCTTCTACGAAGGTGTTTAAATTGGCTTGTAGGTCTTCTTCTGAATGCACACAGACTACGTTATCATCAGCATATTGGAGTTCTATAACAGATGTTGTGACAAGGGGATTGGCTGGTGACTGCTGGAAGAGCACTTTGGTTTCTTGATGTTCAATGACAGGCTGAGCTTCTTGTATGCTTCTGCAAAGGATTTACAGTGGCTTGTAGGTCTTCTGAATGTGCACAGACTACGTTATCATCAGCATATTGGAGTTCTATAACAGATGTTGTGACAGGGGGATTGGCTGGTGACTGCTGGAAGAGCACCTTGGTTGTCTCGATGTTCAATGAGAGGCCAAGCTTCTTGTATGCTTCTGCGAAGGTGTTTAGAGTGGCTTGTAGGTCTTCTTCCGAATGCACACAGACGACGTTGTCATCAGCATATTGGAGTTCTATAACAGATGTTGTGGCAAGGGGATTGGCTGGTGACTGCTGGAAGAGCACTTTGGGTTTGTCGATGTTCAATGACAGGTTGAGCTTCTCATATGCTTCTGCTAAGGTGTTTAGAGTGGCTTGTAGGTCTTCTTCTGAATGCACTCAGATGACATTGTCATCAGCATATTGGAGTTCTATAACAGATGTTGTTGTGACAGGGGGATTGGCTGGTGACTCCTGGAAGAGCACTTTGGTTTTCCTGATGTTCAATGACAGGCCGAGCTTCTCGTATGCTTCTAGAAAGGTGTTTAGAGTGGCTTGTAGGTCTTCTGAATGTGCACAGACTATGTTGTCATCAGCATATTGGAGTTCTATAACAGATGTTGTTGTGACAAGGGGATTGGCTGGTGACTGCTGGAAGAGCATTTTGGTTTTCTTGATGTTCAATGACAGGCTGAGCTTCTGCCAAGATGTTTAGAGTGGCTTGTAGGTCTTCTGCATACGCACAGACTATGTTGTCATCAGCATATCAGAGTTCTATAACAGATGTTGTTGTGACCTTGGTTTTGGCTTTCAGTCTGCTGAGGTTAAACAGCTTGCCATAATTTCCACTCCGGTGGGAAGCTTCCCGTCAACAAGATGAAGTATCATAGCAATGAAGATGGAGAGTAAGGTTGGGGCAAGAACACCTCCCTGTTTGACACCTGATTCCACCTTAAATGGGTCACTTTGGGAGCCATTGCTGTCCAAGACTGTTGTCATCATGGAGGACCCGCAGGATGTTCACAAAGGATTCCCCCAGGCAGGGAGCAGCCAGGCTTTGAAGCTGCAACACCATTCAATGCCGATTGCAACATTCACACTTGCCTCCAGCAGAAAAGAGTTCTTTCTCCCACCCTGGACATTATTCCACAGATATATAAACCCCACAACATATCTCACACCCTGCGAGGATGCCTGCCATTGATGTGGGAGAAATGTCAGGAGGGAATGCTTCTGGCACATGTCCAGACAGCCTGGAAAATTCACAATGTAACTTCATTTGATATTACATTTTGAGCTTCTGAATCCTCCCAGTGTTCAGCGTTATGGCTTCAGGGGTGGGGTGAGGAGGGGGGGGGGCAGAAGTAAGAGCATCCATTTAACAACTGTAGCCGGATCTCTGTAAATAATTTAAAGGCCAAGAATTGGCGTTGCCGCGCTTCCCTAAGAGGTATCTGGGCCTCCGGCCAGCCATCGAAAAATGGAACTGCTAAGGAGGGAGAGCTAGCCATGCAAAATGGTAAATGGAGTGTGTTTTGATCCTAACTGATCTGATTTTGTTTGCTTATAGATATAGTTTGCAGGTAGGGAAAAAAAGGAAAAATCCGCAAGTACTTCCTCATTCTTCTGCGCGCCGCTGGAAGGTTTTATGGCGTTGTAAATCAGTTAAATTAGCCTCCCCGCATAAAGCGACACCTAAATTTCCTACTTGACAAATACAAATGTCTTTCAAACTTTTGATGGAGTACTTCCTCATTCTGCGCACCACTGGAATGTTTTATGGCGTTGTAAATTAGTTAAATTAGCCTCCCCGCATAAAGCGGTACCTAAATTTCCTACTTGATAAATACAAATGTCTTTCGAGCTTTTGATGGAGTACTTCCTCATTCTTTCACACACCGCTGGAAGGTTTTATGGCGTTGTAAATTAGTTAAATTAGCCTCCCCGCATAAAGCGGTACCTAAATTTCCTACTTGATAAATACAAATGTCTTTCGAGCTTTTGATGGAGTACTTCCTCAATCTTCTGCACACCACTGGAATGTTTTATGGCGTTGTGAATCAGTTAAATTAGCCTCCCCGCATAAAGCGACACCTAAATTTCCTACTTGACAAATGCAAATGTCTTTCGTGCTTTTGATGGAGTACTTCCTCATTCTTCTGCACGCTGCTGGAAGGTTTTATGGAGTTGTGAATCAGTTAAATAAGCCTCCCCACATAAAGCGACACCTAAATTTCCTCCTTGACAAATGCAAATGTCTTTCGAGCTTTTGATGGAGTACTTCCTCATTTTTCTGCACGCTGCTGGAAGGTTTTATGGCGTTGTAAATCAGTTAAATTAGCCTCCCCGCATAAAGCGACACCTAAATTTCCTCCTTGACAAATGCAAATGTCTTTCGAGCTTTTGATGGAGTACTTCCTCATTTTTCTGCACGCTGCTGGAAGGTTTTATGGCGTTGTAAATCAGTTAAATTAGCCTCCCCGCATAAAGCGACACCTAAATTTCCTCCTTGACAAATGCAAATGTCTTTCGAGCTTTTGATGGAGTACTTCCTCATTCTTCTGCACGCTGCTGGAATGTTTTATGGCGTTGTGAATCAGTTAAATAAGCCTCCCCACATAAAGCGACACCTAAATTTCCTCCTTGACAAATGCAAATGTCTTTCGAGCTTTTGATGGAGTACTTCCTCATTTTTCTGCACGCTGCTGGAAGGTTTTATGGCGTTGTAAATCAGTTAAATTAGCCTCCCCGCATAAAGCGACACCTAAATTTCCTCCTTGACAAATGCAAATGTCTTTCGAGCTTTTGATGGAGTGCTTCCTCATTCTTCTGCACGCTGCTGGAAGGTTTTATGGCGTTGTAAATCAGTTAAATTAGCCTCCCCGCATAAAGCGACACCTAAATTTCCTACTTGACAAATGCAAATGTCTTTCGTGCTTTTGATGGAGTACTTCCTCATTCTTCTGCACACCGCTGGAAGGTTTTATGGAGTTGTGAATCAGTTAAATAAGCCTCCCCACATAAAGCGACACCTAAATTTCCTCCTTGACAAATGCAAATGTCTTTCGAGCTTTTGATGGAGTACTTCCTCATTTTTCTGCACGCTGCTGGAAGGTTTTATGGCGTTGTAAATCAGTTAAATTAGCCTCCCCGCATAAAGCGACACCTAAATTTCCTACTTGACAAATGCAAATGTCTTTCGAGCTTTTGATGGAGTACTTCCTCATTCTTCTGCACGCTGCTGGAATGTTTTATGGCGTTGTAAATCAGTTAAATTAGCCTCCCCGCATAAAGCGACACCTAAATTTCCTACTTGACAAATGCAAATGTCTTTCGAGCTTTTGATGGAGTACTTCCTCATTCTTCTGCACGCTGCTGGAAGGTTTTATGGCGTTGTAAATCAGTTAAATTAGCCTCCCCGCATAAAGCGACACCTAAATTTCCTACTTGACAAATGCAAATGTCTTTCGAGCTTTTGATGGAGTACTTCCTCATTCTTCTGCACACCGCTGGAAGGTTTTATGGAGTTGTAAATTAGTTAAATTAGCCTCCCCACATAAAGCGGTACGTAATCCGGGTAGCGGCGTGAGCTCCCGCTGTCAGCCCCAGCTTCTGCCAACCTAGCCATTCGAAAACATACAAATGCGAATAGATCAATAGGTACCACTCTGGCAGGAAGTTAACGCTGCTCCATGCAGTCATGCTGGCCACATGAACTTGGAGGTGCCCTGGTCCTCAAACCCTCTCTGCTTCATCCGGAAAAATGCTGCACTCACAGAGCTCAGGCACTGTTATATTTGTCAATGTTGATTTTTGTGGAGAGTAGCTGCCACAGCAGAGTTGGGAGGACAATGGCTTTCTAAACAAGCACCTTGGTCTCCATACAGATGTCCTGGTACTCAAACCCTCTCTGCTTCATTCAGAAAAATGCTGCACTCACAGAGCTCAGGCTTTGTTGTATTTTGGTGTCAATGTTGACTTTTGTGGAGAGGTGGCTGCCAAGGGAGCAGAAATAGCTTTATAAGCAAGCACCTTGCTATCCTTACGGATGTGCCAGTCCTGAAACTCTCTCTGCTTAATTCGGGAAAATGCTGCACTCGCAGAGCTCAGACGGTGTTGTATTTCAGTGCTAATGTTGACTTTTGTGGAGAGGTGGCTGCAAAGGGAGTGGAAATGGCTTTATAAACAAGCCCCTTGGTTTCCCTATGGATGTCCCCGTCCTCAAACACTCTCTGCTTCATTCGGGAAAATGCTGCACTCGCAGAGCTCAGACGGTGTTGTATTTTGGTGTCGATGTTGATTTTGGTGGAGAGGTGACTGCCAAGGGAGCAGAAATGGTCAACATTTTCTAATGTTACATCATTAAGCTGTATCTCTGGCATTGGAGAGGGATTGGCTGGCAACTTCAGTTGTCGTTTGCGTGATATTGTCAACACAATTACCAAATAGGCAACCCGCATAGAGATTTGTGTGAAGATGTTTGCTATGCCAAGCTGAGATGTTTGGGATGCAATGGAAGAGAGGGCTGGAGAGGGATGAAATGTCTG